AACGCCTTTTACGGCATTGCGTCCATATTAAACCAATCGATTTTTTGAAAACCGCTCAAACGCTTTCGCCTTGCCTCCAGTAACAAGCATGGAAACTGACAAATTATAATTAGAAAATAGAGCATTACTAGATTTGTGGAGTAAATACAATAAAGCTACTGTCGAGACTACGACCATGTGTACACATACTTAACGTTAGAAATTAATTCCGCATTTTATTCCTGTTTCCAGCAAATCCAACAACAATGTTCAGGACTCTGTATACAACCATTCATATTAAAATATTTACTTTTTATGAATAAATATTGGGCATCTTTCAAGTACAGATTTACAATTTTTTCACAAAAGATAACGGAAATAAAATACTATAAAAGAACTAATATCCAAGGTATACTATCACACGCACAAAGTAGAAATAAATTGTACAAACAGAACAGGCCAACGAAGATGGAGCTCTCGAAATAACTTAGTTAAAAAATCTTAATAAAAGCGCATTTTCGCCGTGAAATGCAAAAACGAAATCAACTAAACGTTTAAACAGAAGAGATCAAAAGCGTCTTATAATTTCATCGTTTACAATCAGTTCATCCACTTTCTACAATTTGGAGCACCACAGAGGCAGGGAATCTTGTTTTCGTCGTCTTCGAAGTCAAACTGATAGTCGTAGGTCAACTGAAATAGAAAAGCGGGCGTTAAACGAACCGACAGGTGATCGTCTAACTCCACTCACCTCTTCACCCTTGGATATCGGCCTACAGGACATAATGACGATTTTCGATTCTTTGTCCAGCTGCACCAGTTCAGCAACGCAGTTTGGGTCACAGGAGTGATTGATGTATCTGGCAGGACCGCCAGCCATAGTTGCGTCGATTACACGTTCTGGATCGATGCGAAACATGTATATGCCTCTGTTTCGTTCGCGGTAGTTCTTCTCTCGACGTTCCGCGACCTCCAAAAAAGTAATAATCATTTCCTGTAATAACAGGAGCATGGATAAAACTTAGAACGTTCCTTAAGGCGCAGCTCCCAGCAGGCAATCAATACAGTACCTACTAATCTGAATTAAAAACTATATAAGCTAACCATTTTAGTCGTTTCGCATGGCGGGACACAACAGTTCGTTGCAACGCGTGAAAATAATCTTTATCAAAATCGAGTTGTTATAATCGTCTCATCGAGTAGACTCAAAAGTTACTAGCTCTACCTGCTAGCACTAACTCCCACTGAATGAAAAATTTCAAAATTCACCAAGTTCCTCTTAGCGGTACTCAAAGTCGTATCATTCAAATGATATTATTACACATTTCAATGTTACTACAACGAATATTGCTTTACTTTAAAGCAATGACCTATTGAAAAGAAGGAAATGAAAGGCACATGGATACATACAGACACACGGGCAGGCGGACATACCCACATGGAGACATGCTCACATCACAAAAATCAGACAGACATAAACAAGTAGATATACAACTTACATTTCCATACATATATATACTGAGAACACAAAAATCAAGTTAGGCGAATTTCAGAGGGAACTGATGACCACAGAAACAAGTACCAGGTATGGGTGGGGATTAAAATCATCGGAGAGTGAAATTTTTCCTTCAGGGTTATGTTCTGGTGAATGTCAGGAACAAAGAGATTTACGGCGAAAATATGTAGCATGTGCGCAAGTTCCGCTATACTGGATTCATGATCACGATAGATGGAAGGTGTGAATCAGATGTTCAAGAAAATGTTTGGAAACCTTAAGATGCTTATAACATGCTGCGTAAAATCTGTGGACAATCGCCATAAATACATGAGTGAAATTCCGTGTATAATCATAGATGTTCAGCAAGCACGTATGTAGTTGTGTGCCGCAGCAACGTCGAGTCTTAACGCGATATATGTGGCAAAGACTAGCAGAAAGAATAGCAAATGCAAAATTACCCCAGGATGCTAGAAAACACGCTCGATGACCATATAACAAGAATGATTAATCGTATCTTTCCCTCTGAAGACAGATTCAAACTCAATCATCGGTCAAGCATTAAGATGGAACGACATGAAGTTACGTATTACATACTTACTTAAATGTAATGTCTTAGTGTACTTAATGTACACTCACTTACTTACTCACTTACATACACATTCACTTACTTACACACTCATTTACCTATTTACACACTTACCTACTTACTTACTTACTCACTTACTTACTTCTTACTTACTTACTTACTTACTTACTTACTTACTTACTTACTTACTTACTTACTTACTTACTTACTTACTTATATACTCACTTACATACATACCCACTTACTTGCCTGCTTACTTCCTTACTTACATACTCACTCAACTACGTGCTAACGAATCTTTCGACTAACTGCAACTACAAAAGAAACCACAATCATCTAATGTACCTCATTGCGAATGATTTCGCCAATGTATTCGATGATCATGACGCTCATTTCGATGTCTCGCTTCGCGTACAAGCCGAGACCCTGAATTTTGCTTCTCGCCAAGTAGACGTTATTCTGCCATTCCTGCTTCATCTTGCGATACTGCGACCATTTGGACGCCAGACTCTGCCGACCACCGAAAGTACACAGTAATGCGTCGGTCGACAGACCACTTAAAGCTAGCAAGCTTTGGATTGAGTGATTGGCGTGCGCGTTGAGCATATGGGATCTACGACAAGTAAACAAATAAGCGGTAAATAAAGATGAAGACGAACAATAAAAAAATATTCTCATTAGAAGCACAAAACGGCAACACACCTTTTGACGTACGTCCTGAACCTCGGTTCACACCTAGCGCAACAGCTAGGATTCACAGCCAACGGCAAGTCCATCAACGGAGCTCGACCGTTTTTGAAATCGTACGTCAACAACTTGTTTACGCCAGGCAACTAAAAAACACGCGTATGTAACGCACAACAATAAAGAATGTCGATAAAACCTGATCCTACCGATTCGATCATCTTCTGGACACTTAGCTCCATAAATCCGAACAAATTCTCGCCGCTTATGTACATCGGAAACAATTTCAGTAAATCAGAGTTCAAACGACGATTCTGCAGTGGCTCCAATATATTGTCGCGCCACAGTTCTAAAACCAACGTTCTTCAGCATATGATCAACGACTTAGGAAGGGATGAAGAATTCTGGCAAAAAAATTGTCGTATACCTACCTTCAGTATTTGTTATAACTGTCTGAAAATATTCACGAAGAGCCAGGTGTAGGGGCTAACGTGGATAACGGCATATAGCAGTTTCGTGGTCACACAACAAAATGAAACAAGCGACCCATGGGCACCTAAGTCAGACAAACCTAGACAGACGAACGACTGGCAAGTAATGGAAAATAACATGTTTGAACGCCGAAGTATACTGAAT